CGGACCCCCCCAAAAAAAAATACCCAACTGTCAGTCCAGGCAGTTTTGATGTTTCAGCTTGACTGGTTCATGGTAGAGCATAAATATGTGGGCATCTGAAGCAATTCCCTACAGAACCAGCTTGGTTCTCCTCCGGTGTCTTCTCTTGGAGTTGTACCTGATTTTGTTACCAGTTTTCATCCTAATCCACTGGGGAATGGGGCGATTTTGCTTTTGTTTCTTAGCCAGAAACAGCTTGATTCTGAAAGTCTTGTGAGAAGACATGATGGGAAGCTCTGGAAGGCACAGTAACCACGATGGTGAACAAAAGCTGAAGAAGAGCTACATTTCTTTTTGAACAGTGTTACCCCTTCCTTCATTTTCTCCCTGTTTATTTCCCTCCTAACTCCCCTCCCCTCAAGTTGATAGTTCATTTCCAACATAGTGTCTAGTGAGTATCACTGCTGAATTAGTTCACCCTTTGTCCCACCATTAAGTTGCTCTTAAAAGGGAGACTAGAATTTGCTATTAATTTGTTTTACTCATTTCCAAAGTTGTAGAAAGAAGGAAACTTTCTCTCTTTTTAATGATATAAAAGATAGTAGTTTCTAATTTTTAATTTAAATATCTGTCCATGTCTTCAAGAAACCACTAATCTTTCCATTTAAGAAGGTAAAAATTAAAAAAAAACACATTAAACTCAATCAGTCATGGATATCCAGGAAGAAATATAGAAATTTTTGTTTCCCTACAGAGCAGTGAAATGGAGGAACAAACACTTACTTTATATTTCCCTTTGAATAGCCAATTATATCACTTTCTGTGCCAAACAATAGTTTTCCATTAGGATGATTTAGTTGTGTCAAATTTCTAAGACAGCACTAGTGACATGCAAAACATTTCCTAGATCAAATGACTAGCTCTCAAGAGAAACTTGTTAAGGTCAGATCCATGTAGTCATAAATTCAAATGTCATGAGCAAGTGTCTGACCTAATTTTCTTTGAGAAGATTTGTTATAATTTTCTGATTTAGAATAATAACATATTCTTTTGATTTAGTATTATTGTAAAACTGATTTTAAGAAGGGATTATATTTGGTGCAGATGAATGAGGACTTAAAATTGTGTTTTATCTAGAGTAACAGAGTTCTGAGATAGAGCAAAGAAAATTGGATCTGTCCTCTCAGAAATGTTTTGCTATTTTCATATCAGGCCAAACCAATCCAACCCAGAGGGCTTACATGAAGTGGAACAGAATGTAAATGTGCTTCTTTTCCCTACCCTTAGTGCTCTGGAGCTCACTACAAGGGTCCACAAATTTACACTGATCTTAGATCTAATCCCACCATTCAAGTTTTAGAACTTTCCACAATTGGAGACACTAAAGTATTAGTAAGAGGTACATATACAATTACCTTAAAAAGACAAATAAAATTGAAAAGACAAAAATCATGTGCCTGGAGCTAAAAATCCAGATTTTATAATTGAAGTTTACAGTCTGAGATAAACACACAAAACAATTTATCTTTATTCTGAAAACTAAAATACAGAATTTTCCCTTAAGATCAAATATGATTTTTTTATTGTGAGAATACCGTACAGAGGAGTTACAATTACATGGGCAAGATAATGAGTACATTTCTTATCAAGCATTATTGCCTCCTCGTTGTTTCCCCTTCTCATCCCTTCCCATCAAATATGATTTTTTTAAAAATGCAGAAGTAATGTTGGCTAACCCCCCCTACAAAAGTTAATTATATAATGAAAATAGGTTGGATAACTGATGAGGTTTGAAAGGACTGTCAGTAACCAAAGGAATGTGTATGAAGACTGTGGTATGTTAGTGCTACCAGAGTATTACATTTCCACTAAGAATGACAAACATGCTAAAATTTTTAAACATGTAATTTAATTAAAGCTAGTTTTATGGTGAATAATCATTAAAATGTTGTTTCCTCTTTCTGTCTCTCTCTCTAAACATTTAATCTGTCCTCTTAAAAATGCACAATTCAGTACTGTCAACCATAAGCATTAATATTGCATAGCACATCTCTAGAACCTATTAATTTTAAATTACATTTTGCATCTAATATTGTAAATGATACTTTGCAGCTAATATTGGTGTTGCAGGGGAGCACAATAAATAATGAACATGGTCTATCATGTCAGACTGTCTAGGTTTGAACCTTGGTTCTTATACTTGTGTGATAGCTGTGTGATAATGAGCAAGTTACTAAACTTTTTTGTGCCTCAGAGATTTTTTTTGTCATTTGTGGAGCTCAGGGGCTGGGCATTGTCCCTGAGCTCTTTTGCTCAAGGCTAGCCTTCTACCACGTTGAGCCACAGCTCTACTTCTAGTTTTTGGGTGGTTAGTTGGAGATAAGAGTATCAAAGACTTTCCTACCCTGTCTGGCTTTGAACCTTAATCCTCAGATCTCAGCCTCCTGAATAGCTAGGTTTACAGGCGTGAGCCACCAATGCCTGCCTGGCTTTGTGCCTCAGTTTCTAATTCAACAAACTAGGTATATTGATGTTATCTACCATACAGCTTACTTGCAAGCATTAAATATATCAGCACAAATAAAACACTTTAAACAAAGCAAAACACACACAGTTCATTAAATGTTGTATGATACCATTTAAAGATAATTCTTTACTTCAAATAACTGATAATTCTACTAGGATCACTCCACTTCAGGAAAGAAATTGGGGGAAGTTCTAAACAGTATGGTATAGTTTATAAGTGCATAATTAACAAAAGAAGAAGAAATTTATGGTGGGTTTGCAGGTAAGTGAGGTTTTATAGTATATTTCCATATGGCATGAGTGTGTCTGTGAGTAGAAATGACAAAATTCTGAAAGTAAGAATAAACAAACAACATAGTTCTTTAATATGATATAGAATTTAACTAGCCTAGCTATTCAAACTGTACTCTTTCCAAATTGAGAATTGGTATAGTAAATCTGAATGAGTATATTTATGTAGCAAAACTATCCCTAAATGCATTAAGTAGTAAAACAATTCCTAAACACTTCAAAGTTACATCTTGCTATATATTTTAAGATAAAACTTGAACATACCTGTTCTCTTTGAGTTTCATAAATGTTTTGAGTTTCATAAATAAGGAAGGTAATAAATATCATCTTCATTTTACAAATGAAGCTGAGGATCAGAGTTTATGTCACTTGCTTAAAGTTACTCAAGTAGTGAGCAACAAAGACCAGGTTAATACCCATGTCTTTTGGTTTCCAAAGCAGTACTCATCTACCATATGCTGAATAGCATAAAGCTTAGTAAATGAGAAGCAAGGACTGACTTTTATGACAGATACTGTGTTTGATCTTTGTCTCAAGCAAGGAGAAGCAGCAGAGAATAAAAATTCACTGTCAGGTTCTAGGTATATTAGACAAAACTGATAGGTACCAGTTATCATTCTCTTTATGTTTTGTGATTTTTTCCCCCACTGCTAGAAAGGAGCTGGGAATAATGTACCGATTCAGAAAGAACTTCTTTCATAGTTTTTCTTTTTTCTTTACTATTAGAATTTTTTTTGGGGGGTCCGGTCGTGGGGCCTGAACTCTGGGCCTGGGTGCTGTCCCTCAGCTCTTCAGCTCAAGGCTAGTGCTCTACCACTGAACTCTAGAATTTATTTCTTCTGTGATAATGTGCATTTGGAAGCCCAAGGCTAGGAACAAACTGGACCTCAGCAAAAGCTTGACATAGTATATTTTAGTCATTACCAAGTTTTTTTTTCATTATTTTAAGAACAAAGTTTTCACCATAATCTAAAATGACTATAAACACATCTTTGCTACTCTTGTCAACAGACTAATAAAAAGTACAAAGAATGAAACAATAATACAGATTATAATAAACTTTCACTCATAAATGCATATCATAGAGCAACAATTTATGGTTGCATGCCTGTATATAAATACATGAGCTTCTTAAACAAATTGTAATATGGATATTCAATAAGTTTTTCAGACATTCTTTGCAGTAAATTTTGATTCTAGTAATAGGAATGTAGAATAGTAGACTCTCTCCAGATAAATTTTTACTTCTTTTCATACATGGGATCCATTGATTTTGGCTTCTTAAGAAGGGTTATATGTCAGGTAGGGAGACAATTCCTTATAGGAATTTCAATGAGCAACAAAAACACTATTCTTTTGAGGTCCAGAGGCAGGAACAAGAAAATTGGAGATACAATGGCTTTTGATCAAGTTGACCTTCCACAGTTTCCAGATTGTACATTGCATGGAGATTTTATGGCTATTTGGCTGTACAATCACTTGTACATTCTCTCCTGGAAGAAATGGCCTTGCTCCCCCTTAGCTAGTCAGTACTACAAAGGAAGAGGCTGACAGTACATTTTATGTAGCTCTGGGTCATCTCTGCTTCTCATCTGATGGCATGCATGCAAAGGAATATGCTAAGATGATTGAGAACTACTTGCTAATTTTAATGTTAGATTTAAAGGTCTATTTCTTAGCCTTTGTGCAGCTTTTACTGGAGAAGGAAAACCTTGACCTCATATTTGGTTTCACAGAACAAAACCACAAATATTTTCCACCTTCTGGAGAACAAACAACCATTTATAATTTAGCTCATATTTGTGAAATGAACATTTAACTTAAAATATGTTTCATAATGGGATACTAGGTTGCTCATATCTCATAATGGGATTCATAAATGAAATACATTTATAGGTATATGAAGTTATGTATTTATAAATTATTAGAATTTTTTTCTTTTTTAATTGTGAAAATACTGTACAGAGGAGTTACAATTATATGAGCAAGGTAATGAGTACATTTCTTATCAAGCATTGTTGCCTCCTCCTTTGTTTCCACTTATCATCCCTTCCCATCCCCCCCTTCCCCACCTACCCCATCCCTCCCCTTCCTCCCATCAAAGTTGTAAAGTTTGTTTTTTGACATAAAGTCTTGTACATCTCATTGTTGCAATGGGGCCACCTATATCCCTATTTAAACAGAAATTTTTTTTTCTTACAGAAGATGTGGAGAAATATTTTTGGGGAAATTCTTTTCATTGGTTTATACTGCAAATGGGTTTAAACTACTCTTTGTGTATTTCCTCTCCTTTTTCTGGCAAGGAGGCCTTCTTTTTGGGCATATATGTCATACTGGACAAAGAGTGCTTTCTAAATGTAGAAAGCCTTCTCCTAAAGTTTCCCCCCGAAAAGAAATACAGGAGAGGGTCAAAGCAACAATTTGATGCAGCTAGAGACAAGGTAATAACCACTGACTTCTGCATTTTAAGGACTGATTCACAGGGTTTGGTTTCATTGTGTAAAAAATGCAGATGAATGGTCCGTTGAATATGATAGGGCATGAAGCTTATTAGAAAGGCAGCTGTCACAACTATAATCATTCCTATTGCCTTTTTACGACTTGGAAGATTTTTCTTCATTGAATTTTTTAGTAAGGTCAAAATGATCATTGTGTAACATACAATTATAATGATAAAAGGGATGATGAAACCAATGAGTAATGACACATAATGTAAGATCAGGACATGTTTTTTAGCTTGATTGTCCTGAGGAGGCTCAAAACATTTGGTATTGTTTTTCTCATCTTTGTAAGTTTTGGACATTAAAAATGGAGAACTAGTTATAATCACAAAAATCCAAATGCCAACACACACAAACTTGGCTTTTTTCTGGGTAACCAAACTAATATTCTGGACAGGGAAAACAATTGCAACACATCGGAAAAAGCTCATGGCTGTCATAAAGAAAATGCTACAGTACAGATTGACATACAAGGCATAGGTGCTGAGACGACACAAAATATCACCGAAGAGCCAAATGCCTTTGTGGACATAATAGACCACACGGAGAGGCAGTGTACACACACACAGTAGATCTGCTACAGCTAAATTAATCATGTATATTTGGAAGGCTGATTTCTCATGATATGTTTTTATGAGGACATAAAGCACAAAGCTATTGCCGAAGAAACCCACAACAGAGATCATAGAGTATAAGGTGGAGTATACTTGGTTGCGGAATTCATCAATAGTTTCCTGGCATATGTTCTCACTGACAGAAGATCCTGTCAAATTTCCAACTACATTCATGTTTTCCTAGGAAGATCTTTTCAGTGCCTAGAATGTAAAGAAAAAAAACTCGTCAGATTTTATTAGACCTTAAATTATAAAAGTATTAATATTTCATTCCATATTGTTACTATGTGTACTTTTTCACCACTGCATCTTGCCTCTGGGAGGAACATTCAAATCTTATAGGCATTTATTAATATTTCCCCCCCTCTTCTTCCCCTCCCCTCCCCTCTTGTTTTTGAATCTTTTGAATTAACAAACAATTTTAGTGTGAGGGGGTTTCATCATGGTATTGCTATACTTTGAAAAACTTTACCCCTCCACCATATTCCTAGTCCTTCCCCCCTTTTTACCCTATTTTTTATTGTTTATTTTTGTGCTGTCCTGGGGCTTGAATTCAGGGCCTGGGTGCTGTCCCTGAGCATTTGTGCTTAAGTCTAACACTCTACCGTTTGAGCCACAGATCCACTTCTGGCCTTTTGGTGCTTAATTGGAGATAAGAGTCTCATGGTCTTTCCTGTCCTGTCCAGGCTGGCTTTGAACCGTGATCCTCAGATCTCAGTATCCTGAGTGTCTAGAATCCTAGCTATTGGTGACCAGTTTTACCCTATTTTTAAATTACAAAATACTTTAAGATACAAATACCATATATATGAACCACAGAACACCATGGCTGAAGTGATCTAGTCATTTTAAAGATGAGAAAAATATCCAGAAAGGTAATATATGTTTAAACAGTCTATACCACAATTTAAGGCTCTGAATAAGATGTGGTATCACTGTTGGAATATACTTACTTGTTGCATGAGGAAATTTTTGTAGTTGTTCATCTTTGCTCTCATTCTAGACTTGTTCTCAAGGATTTCATATTTACCCATATACATTTTTTTAATTTAAAAAATATTTTGAGCTGGGCACTGGTGGCTCACACCTGTAATCCTACCTACTCAGGAGGCTGAGATCCTGGTTCGAAGCCAGCCCAGGCAGCAAAAGCTGTGAGAATCTCATTTCCAATTAACTACCACAAAAAAACCGAAAAGAAAACCAGAAGTGGAACTGAGACTCAAGTGATAGAGTGCTCGCCTTGAGCACAAAAACTCAGGGACAGAACCCAGGTCCTGACTAATAAAAGAAGTGTCATTATATTTATTCATTTATTTGTCGGTCGTGGGGCTTGAACTCTGGGCTTGGGCGCTGTCTCTGTGCTCTTCAGCTCAAGGCGAGCACTCTTCTGCTTGAGCCACAGCACCACTTCCAGTTTTCTAACGGTTTATTGGAGATAAGAGTCTCACCAACTTTCCTGCCCTGGCTGGCTTTGAACCGCGATCCTCAGATCTCAGCCTCCTGAGTAGCTAGGATTACAAGCGTGAGCCACTGGCGCCCGGCTAAGAAGTGTCATTATTTATCATCAAGAACTGTTGGTATAAAATTTAAAAAAGTCAAAGATTGGTTCTGAGGTCATAAAGAAAAATGAGATCACCATGCCTATTCTCTGCATTATAATATTTGCTTTCTAGTTACCTGCCTCTTTTATCAGTGGTTCTTGGAACTTAGATGCACTTGTGGGAGGAAAGGAAACCACCTCCAATTAATCTAGTCTTTCATCAATCCTGTTTGAAGTGTTTCCTCAAACTGGACTGTATTATTTTGTGAGGCACTAGATGGTGCTCTTGAGATTTTTTGTAGAAGAATTCTTTTAGGTCATTTTGTACTAGCATACATTAGTGATACATTGTGATAGTTTCATATGTACACCCAGTACATTTTGGACACATCTCTCCCACCATATTCCTAAGGTTTTTGATATAACTTTTCCTCCCTTTGCTTTATTGTGTATAACTGACAAACAAATGTTGCATATATTTGATATATATGTTCAATGTGATAACATGATGATCTGACATAGAATATATAATGAAATTATTATCACAACCATTTCATACACACACACATATGTTGTGAAATCACCACCATCATCAAATTATTAACATATTCTTGGGGCTGGGAAGGTGGCTCAGTGGTAGAGTGCTTGCCTTGCATGCATGAGGCCTTGGGTTCGATTCCTCAACACCACATAAGCAGAAAAAAAAAGCCGGAAGTGGCGCTGTGGCTCAAGTGGTAGAGTGCTAGCCTTGAGCTGAAGAGCTGAGGGACAGCGCCCAGGCCCAGAGTTCAAGCCCAGGACAGGACCAAAAAAAAAAAATAACATATTCCTCAAAAGCCCGTATGATGTTGCACTCTTGTCATTCCAGTACTCTGAAGACTCAGGTAGAAGGTCTTGAATTTGAGGCCAGGATTGGCTGTATAGTTAGACCCTATCTAAAACATAGCAAAGCAATGCAAAGCAAAGCAAAGCAAAGCCAGAGCAATACAAAGCAATGCAATGCAAAGCAAAGCAAGCAAGTCAGGACAAGGCAAGATAGGCAAATACCTACATTAATCACCTCCTATTCTTACGTGTGTGTGTGTGTGTGTGTGTGTGTGTGTGTGTGTGTGTATGGTAAGATGCTTATGGTCTAGTCTCTTAGCCCAGAGCTGGTGGCTCATGCCTGTAATCCTAGCAACTCAGGAGGCTGAGATGGTTTGAAGCCAGCTGAGCAGAAAAACCTGAGACACTCTTACCTTCAGTTAACCACCAAAAAGTCAGAAGTGAAGGTATGTCTTAAGTGGTAGAGTGCTAACCTTGAACAAAAAAGCTAAGGGACAGCATTAAGGTCCTGAGTTCAAGACCCAGTAGTACTCTACTAGTAGCTTAAGGGCAAGTGGCAGTTAAAACACATGAATTAAAAGGAAGAAACTGCTGTTAGAATTCAGCCCACTAAAGAGCATCCTGTGTCTTTTGATGGAAGTTCCTTCAAATCAGGGGAATTCAAAGAATCTGAAGTTTCTTGACTAGTCTGCAGTGAAGCAGAAGAAAATACTGACAAAGATCCCATCCAAATAGTCAAACTAAAAGAGGATATCATTCCAAATCAGGAAACTACTGGTTAAACTGTGACTAACAGAAGTCATGCATGTTCTTGTAAAGAAATGAAACCTACTGTCAGTATTCAAAAACTTGACATCCATTCAAATGAGTCAGATATGTTGTGAAAGAAATCAGGACAGGAATGCTAAGGACAGAGGGCAGTACTGATAACTAATGTACTGATAACTAATGATATTTGTATAGTGTTATTTTCTTTCTTTATTTTTTATTTCTGTTGGTTGTGGGGCTTGAACCTGTCAGGGCCTGACTCTGTTACTGAGCTCTTTTGCTCAAGGCTAGTGCTCTACCATTTTGAGCCACAGCACTACTTCTGATTTTGAGTGGTTAATTGGAGATAAGACTCTCATGGGGACTTTTCTGCCCAAGCTGGCTTCGAACTGCAATCCTCAGATCTCAGCCTCCTGAGTAGGTAGGATTATAAGCATGAGCTACAGCGTCTGGCTTATTTTATTTATTTTTTTTAAGTTAATGTACTTTATTGTTATTCTTTTTTTTGTTGTTGGTAATGAAACTCAGCCCAGGCACTGTCCCTGAGCTCTTCAGCTCAAGGCTAGCACTCTGCTACTTGAGCCACATCACCACTTCCGGTTTTCTGGTGGTTAATTGGAGATAAGAGTTTCACGGACTTTCCTCCCCGGACTGGCTTTGAATAGCAATCCTCAGATCTCAACCTCCTGAGTAGGTAGGATTGCAGGTGTGAGCCACCAGTGCCCAGCAGTTGTTATTATAAAGGTGATATACAGAGGGATTACAATCACATGAGTCAGGTAATGAGTATATTTCCTTTCATATAGTTTGTTTTAAACAAGACATCATTAAATGTACTATAACTGTGAGACATTATTATTATTTAATTAATCATTAATTAACCTGGCCATAAAGAAAAAAATAAAATACTCCATGACATTTGTCATGTAGAACTTTTAAAAAATCACTATTAAAATCTTGAGAAATAGAATTAATACTTCAGTTAAAGATTTGCGGTAAACTTCAAATTTCTGTCACTCAGTTGAACTAGACAGAATTCTTTGTGTGATCAGTGTGTTTCTTCATACCACTGTGCAGATGTAGTAGTACTTTTCATTTGTTGATAGTTTTTTGTATATATTTATTCTTGTAAATCACATTCTGCCACCAGTATAAACTATCAAATAATACAGATATATTTAGAAGTTTTTAAACAAAATGATCATTTTAAAAACTTCTTTCATTTTTTAAATAAAGAACCTTTTGAACTAAAACTAGAAACTCGTCATAGTTTATCAGTTTTTTATTAGCACCCATTAGTAGTGTAAGCTGAGATCATTGTGGTCATTCCACACATGACTGCAGTGTATTTTGAGTTCCACAATTTTAACATGAAAAGTTTATGCAAAATGATTATGTTCTCAAAGTTGACACATTATATCAGTACTTTGCTCTGCTTTGTAAATTTCCCAAATGTGATTTTTTTTGGTTAGTGTATGAAATTAAAGCAGATTCTTTAGCATTTTCCTAAAGCTACAGATTTTTCTTTTGTCCATTGCTTCTGGTTGGATATGGTTATTATGAGTTCATTAAATATAATGGAAATGTAAATAAAGAATTTACTATATTAAAATAATATTGAGTGTATAAGTAAATGAATAATAGATAAGTTTATCATTTGAAGTCATTATTTGAAATCACAGAGTTATTTTCTCATTCCAATAGAGTTAAAACTTTTCCAGTATTCACTAGATTCTATTTTGAAAATGAACTATGCAACTTATTGGTGGGGATGGGAGGGAAAAACTGGAGGAGAGTGAGAGAAGAGTTGACATTGTCCAAAAAGAAATGTATTCATATCCATGCACTGGTGATTCATGCCTGGTAACCCTTGCTATGCAACAGTCTGAGATCTGAGGATCGTGGTTTGAAGCTAGCCCAGGCAGTAAAGTCTGTGAGACTCATCTTCAATTAACCGTCAGAAAACTGGAAGTGGCACTGTCATTCAAAGTGCTAGAGCGCTAGCCTTGAGTGACAAAGCTCAGGGACAGTATCTAGGTCCTAAGTTCAATCCTCATAACTGACCCCCTCCCCCCAAAAAGAGAAAGAAGTACTTATCTGACTTATGTAACTGTAACCCCTCTGTACATCACATTTATAATAACAATAAAAATAAAAAATTAAAAAAATCTTTACAGCATCAGAGCCTAAAATAACTGTGTAAGTTAAGTTGCTTCCTAAAGTATTAAGCAAGGCACTAAACCATAAGGCTAAGGGTTAAAAAATACCTATATTACTGACATATATGGATTGTTTGTTAAAAATAAATATGAAATCATCAGATATTTGAGTGAAAGATGCTGAATAAAACTGACAAAAAGAAAAATGAGCAGAGAAACAGATGATCTTTAGTACCATTAATAAACTTTGGAGCCTTTGTACAGACCCTGTAAATTTTAGTATTTAGGTTCAATTGTTTATATGTAAATCAAATCAATGATTTGTATTACGCCACAAAAGAAGACTGTAAAAGTTTAAAACAAGCAGTTAACTCTAGAATGGTTGAGATCATTTAGTGCAAGCCAGTTTGATGGCTTTCCAGGGGTGAGCAGCATTTAATTCATTTTTCTACTGATTTATTGTGATCCACCAACCATGTGACTCTCCTTAGATGGGCACAGAGAGTTCCTTTGGAAACCTAAGATTTCTAAGGACCCATTCCTTCTTCCAAACAGCTCATAGGTGTAGAGGAGAGAAGATGATGAGGAGTTCAGAAATGTGGAGAAGTTACAATGCAGTATAGTAAGAGTTGTGTTAGCGCAAAATGAGACAATAATTGATTAATGAAAGCAAGCTATAAACATACCTGGAACCAATTTTATTTTAGTACATTTACTTTGTTAAGATAATTACAAGTTTAAAAAGCAAGGTTCATTTTGAAAATGGAGCCATACCTCTTTCTGGCACTGCGGTTCCTTCTTGGAGTAGTTAGTGCTTCTTGTTATAATGTCAGAGGATGCCCAAGCTGAAATCATAAGATTGAAAAGAAAGTTAATGTTCATTTTTAGAAGCAGTCCAAAAGGGTCATGGGAATGTAGCAGCCCTAAGTATAGATTCAAAGTGTGTGATGGGACATCAAAGCTTTACTGAAAGATTTAGGGCTTGCCATTGAATTTCATTACTCCTTTTTTTCCTTCCATCCTTTTTTTTACATCCCCAGGGGGAGGACTTGGAACCCAGACCCTGACTAGTCACAGATGTTTGCTGCCATGTGCGTACAACATTTATATCTAGTGATGAACACAGTGTTATATTCCTGTCTATGAAATGATATTTTCTCTTATAAACATTAATTATAAAGTTCAAAGGGGAAAATAATTTAGAAATTTCTATCAAAAGACATAGTTCTCTAAAAGTAGGATTTAGAACATTAAAGATACCAAGTATATCTTTCTGGGTTTGCTTAGGGACAGTTTAGGGAAGAAAACATAAATTGCTTTCTAGTTTTGGGATTGTCAAGGGACTTTTTTTCCTTACAAACTTATGATGGTATTTGGTTTATATACTTTCACAGGTCAACTGTTGTGTAATCTTCATAGGAGTTTTAAGGAGTATATGTCTCTTCTCTTCAATTAATTTGCATCAGATAATCTACCAAAGTACAGTAAATCTCTAAAAAATGAATAGAGAAGGGCCTTCGTCAACAGTACTACTGGAATCTTTTTCTTCTGAGCTTTTGCTGTCTATGGCAGCTTTCATTCTTGTCAGCAAGGTTCCAAGAAAGACTGGTCACTTTCCTTTATCTGTGGTCCCAGCACCAACAAAATAAACACTTTCCTGCAATTTGTTCATAGTATATAGTAACAGGAGAACTGTAGGAACTCTACTGAGTAACAAGGAAATAAAAAAGAAAACAAAATAAATGCAAAAATATAAAACAATATAGTTTTAAAAGTAGAAAACTAGGACCACAGCTTTGATATTGCACCTGGAGTCTATCCCATACCCAGACAATCATTTTCAAAGCTTCTCCAACTTCTTTCTCCTTAAGTTGTCCCCATTTTTCCAGGTAAAAAGTGGGTAGTGCGGGATACAGGTAGAGAACAGTCAGAGTTGGCGATTATAATTTAATCAGCTGTTCTCAGATCTCTATACATTACCAAATGTATACTGACTGAAAATGGAATGCATAAAAACACCTTTCTGATCTTAAAATATAATTTCACTCATTTTGTAATCAATGAATTAATGTCACATTTCAGGACCACAGTGTAGTAGGTTTTTAGTCCCCACATTTGAGATCTCAAGACAATTTCAACCTATAGTTGTTTTAGACTTTTCAGCTGTGTACATAGCAGGTATTCAATAATTTCATTCATTTTTTGTTTTCCTTTTCAGTTTTCTTGGGGTAATCTTGTCTCTGATAACAGATTCTGCCAATATTGGATGCTGCCATTCATATTTAGATAACTAGGTGGATGAGGTGAAGTGACAAAGTAACAGTATGATCATGTGATTTTTATTAGTGCACATTAATTATATATATATACATGCCTATAATAATGCACTGTGATCAAATTTACACCCTCTATTCTTCTCTTTTCCCTCCCCCTTCTCTCCCTAGTTTTGGGCTTGAACTCAGGACCTGGGTGCTGTCCTTCAAGCCTCAAGCTTAGTGCTTGAGCCACAGCTTCTGGCTGTTTGGTGGTTAATTGGAGCTAAGAATCTCATGGACTTTCCTGCTCAGACAGGCTTTGAACTGCAATGCTCAGATCTCAGTCTCCTGAGTAGCTAGGATTACAAGTGTGAGCCATTGTGCCTGGATCCCTCCTTTCCTTTTTTTTTTCCCGGTTGATCGTGGGGCCTGAACTCCAGGCCTTGGCGCTGTCCCTAAGCTCTTCAGCTCAAGGCTAGTGCTCTACCACTTGAACCACAGAGCCACTCTGGCTTTTTCTGTTTATATGGTGCTGAGGAATGGAACCCAGGGCCTCATACATGCAAGGCAAGCATTCTACCACTGAGCCACCTTCCCAGCCCCCACTCCTTTGCTTTTATATAATTGTTAGTAGGTTCTTTTTTAAAATTTTTATTTTATTTTAATTTTTATCTTCAAGTAGTTGCACAAAGTTCCCATTCTACAAAACAGTGTATGAGTACAAAGTGTTTGACAACGTTCTCACCCATCTCTCTGTTAGTAAGTTCTATTTTGCTCTTTTCCTACAACATATAGTTTACTTTGATCATATTCACCCCCTCATCATCCTGTCCTTGCTTGTCTTCCCACCTTCTAATTCCTCATGAGCAGGCTTCTTTTTGTATCCACATCATATTACTATTTTTTAATTTAAAAAATAGGCCTAGATTCTACACATAATATAAAATCTATTGATTTTTTTTTGGGTCTGGTCATGGGGCCTGAACTCTGGGTATGGGCGCTGTCCCTCAGCTCTTCAGCTCAAGGCTAGCGCTCTACCACTTGAGCCACAATGCCACTTCTGGCCTTTTTTTTGCTTATGTGGTGCTGAGGAATTGAACCCAGGGCCTCATGCATGCAAGGCAAGCGCTCTACCACTGAGCCAACTTCCCAGCCCCAATCTATTGATATTTTTATTTTAATTGTGTAATACAGGAGTTACTCAGATTATGTTCAGTTCAACTCAATCCAAGTCAATAAATATTTACAGAACTATTCTTTTTTATTATATATATTTAATTTTATTGTCAAGGTGAAGGGGTTACAGTTACATACATAAGGTAATGAGTACTTTTATTGTCGAACTTGTTACTCCCTCCCTCATTTTTCTCCTATTTTCTTCCCCCCTTTCTCCCTAAGTTGTACAGTTCATTTCCAACATATTGTCTTGTGAGTATTGCTGTTGTATTGGTTCCCCCTTTGTCCTTTGTCTCACCATTTTGTTGTTCCCTTCCTTAATTCAGATAAATGTATATACAATACCCAGGGTATATCAAAATCAAATACAGATTCAACAGGGGATAATCCATAGGGGGAAAATACAAAAGAAGCAAGAAATCACATAGTGTAATAAAAACAACAACAACAAAGAAAAACCTCTTGTGTCCATGTCTTGGAGTTCATTTCACTTAGCATCATCTTATATGGCTACATAGCTATTGAGCTATTCTGCTCATCTGCTAGGATTATCCCAAACATATACTAATTATTACAAATGAGGGAAACCATGGGACCTATGTTTCTTTGGATCTGGCTTACTTCACTTAATATGATTTTTTCCAAGTCTTTTCATTTCCTAGCACATGGGTCAGTGCCATTCTTTCTGATGGAAGGGGAGATTTCCACCATATGTATCTCACATTCATCTATTGAGGGCAGAGTTACTCTTATAAGAAAGAGGATACTCTCTCTTCATCCCTTTAACCTCTACTGAACCTGTTAAATGATCAAGCTCTAGTGAACAAGGTAGTAATTATAATACAAGTTTCCAATTCATATCCAAACAACTCTATTTAATTTCTGCAATAGAATTTTATACAAACAAGAATCAATACCAGGTTGGTTCAATATCTTAGCTATGATAAATAATGCTGCAGTAAACATAGTTGTGCTGGTAGCTTTAGTATACCCTTTTTTATGATTGTTTGGGTAAATGCCCAAAGTGGGATTGCTGGGTCATAGGGCAGCTCTATGTGGAGTCTTTTGAGGAATCTCCACACTGCTTTCTAAAGTGGTTGAACAAGCTTACACTCCCACCAACGATGCAGTAGGGTTCCTTTTTGGCCATATCCCCTCCAGCATCTGTTGATTATAGTCATTCTAATTGGGGTGAGGTGGAATCTCAATGATGTCTTGATTTTAATTTCTTTTATGGGTAGTGAACTTAGGAAATGGAAAGACTTGGAAAAAATTATATTAAGTGAAGTAAGCCAGACCCAAAGAAACATAGCTCCCATGGTTTCACTTATTTACAATAACTAGTATAAATCTAGGACAGGCAGAAAAGGTAAAAAAACTATGTACATATGGCCATATAAGATGATGTTAAGAGAAATGAACCCCAAGATAGGGACACAACTGGTTTTTGTTTTCTTGCTATTGTTTTTTAAGATATGTATGATGTACTATGTGATTTTTTTTGTTTCTTTTGTATGTTCTTCCCCCATGGTTTAACCCCTGTTTTCACTGTATTTGATTCCAGTTTTCACTGTATTTAATTCCAATGTCCTGCATCTTGTAATACATTTTTATAATTTGGGGAGGGGAAGGGAAATAACAAAATGCTGAGATAAGCATACAGGTTGACCCATTGTAACAATGAGATGTGTAAGACACTATGTTGAAAACGAACTTTACAACTTGGCGGGGGAGGGAGGAGTTGGGGACGTGGGGTGGGAAGGGATGGTAGGGAAAAAACAAAGCAAGCTGTAACAATGCTCTATAGGAAATGTACTCATTACCTTGCTCATGTAACTGTAACCCCTCTGTACAGTATCTTTACAATAAAAATATAAAAAAGAAAAAATTCAATTCTACACTTTTGTGCTACGTATGGCTCAGATAGAACTAGTGATCCACAAATGTCTCTATGTAGCCTCTATGCTAGTATCTTCTACTAAGTGAAATGGTAGTACCTTTTTTGGTGGCAATCCTGGGGCTTGAACTCAGGGCCTGAGTTCTTTCCTTTAACTTTTTGCTTCAAGGATGGCACTTTACCATTTGAATCACAGCTCTAATTCTGGCTTTTTGGTAGTTAATTAGAGGTAAGCGTCTCACATATTTTTCCTGCTTGGGCTAGTTTTGTACTGTGATCTTCAGATCTCAGCCTCCCTTGGTAGCTAGGATTACAGGCCACTGTCACTTGGCTCTTTGTTTTGTTTTTACTCAAATAAAAAGTCAGTCTAAGTCATTCTTGAGTCTCTCAGTCTAAACTCATATTTCTCCCATTTGAAGTGCTGCAGCATTTTGTTTTTTTTAATTCTTTTTTATTAGTGCTTATTAATTATACCAAGAGATTTCCATACTTGCTATTTCCATACATGCTTATTATT